TCTTTCCCTTTTTTTCTTTAAATACAACTACTGGGTATACACATTATAAAAGTTTGAAAAGTCTGTCTTTGAGTTTTCTTTTAACTTTTCAAAAGATTATGCAGGCAATGCATAGATGTATATTTTTTCTTCTCTAGTCCCCATCCTTCCCAGTTATGTCTGTTGGTTGCATAGTCTAAACTGTGCCTCTTTGCAATGCCTTTAACTTGGTAGTAGTAGTAAAGATTATAAAGAAAGAAAATGAAAAGTTTGGTGTGTGAAATGATTGTTCACACAGTATATTAATAATTTAAGCAATATTCCAAACCCCATATCCTTCCCCAGCATGAAATAGTTTTAATTATACTTGTTTTGAGATATATTTGAGAATTCCAACTCATCTCTTGAATTTCTTTTAGAAAGAGACCAGCAAAATATCCAGGAAATTTTCAAACATTCTAGTGTTTCTAGAGTGTTTCCTAGGTTCCTTATATAGGATGTACTCTTTTTAAAACATCCCTCCAAAAATCTAATACTTGCAATATCTGAAAAGTGATCATTTTTCTTTGCATCACATTCTGTAGAACAATCGAAGTGAATCAAAATCAGTTCATTAGCTTTTCTATCTTAGAACCTTGTTTAACACATTCTTTAATGTTAAAAGAAATCAAGTTGAATTTTGCAGTGCATATGTTTGCTAGTTTCCCACATCCTGAGCCATGTCACAATCTGGTTATATTTAGTCACATATAATTTAATGCAGCGAAGTCTCAGTTACCTAATGCTCTGTATATGGGTGCCTATCAGAAACACTAATAGGAATACCATAAAGGTCTATTGCCTACTTTCCATATGACCAATATCTCTCTCTCCCTCTCTCAGCTATTAAATTAGTCATTTCTTCTTCCTTGACTTTATTATATTTCCCTGGTAAAGTAGAAAAGCAACCTTTGTACTGATATTGGGATATTTATAATACTTATCCTGTATCATTTAAAATTTTTTCAGTCTTTCCTACTATATATTAACATCCATTTTTCTCCAACCCTTGCTCCATTTTCTTTAAATATCTTCCAGTTAATAGCCAATGCTTTAATTTCCTAACTGAAGTGAAAACAAAACAAAACAAAAACAAGAATACAGAGATTAGGGCATGTAATTTAAAAGATTTAGGTCCTGAAAGGAGTTGGTCAGTCATGCAGGAAGAGAATGGCATATATGACTAACATAAAAGACTGAACTTTTTTTACTTTAACTGGAATCTGTCTACTAACTATTCACCGACACTGTGCATCCGACACTAAGGTGGTTGTGTGATTTTTTTGACCCCTTTGAGGGGAAAAAAAAAAAAACTTTTAAAAAATGAGATACCTCATTTATTTTCTTTTCTGGGAAAGAACACTTTTAATACTTAGCAAGATGATTCTCTTATAGAACTTACCCTTAAAAAAACATTCTAAAATAGTTCTGATTCTCTTGCTTCAATTATAAGTAAATGAGAGAATGAACAAATCCTGTTGTATGATTTGGACATTGTTATATTTGTATGAGTGGGTGTGTGTGTGTGTGAGAAAGACTGGTAGAATTTTATATAGCGCATCCCTATGTCTTTTGTATACCTAATTACCATACATCTAAATACACAATGAGATTTGAAGACATGGCCGTCAAAGTCAGAAGGCTAGGTGACAGTTTAGTGGCCTATTTGTACTGCCAGAAATAAAGCTCTCCTTCTAGTCACCATGTTGATGGCCACATTAAGCAAGAACTGTCCCAAAATATTCTTCCCCACTCACAGTGGCTTCCATGTACCACAGGCAACTTCAGACTCTTTCAGAAGGTACCAAAAAAAAAAGAGAACTTCGGTGTGGGCCGCACCTCAGTAGGAGATGCAGACCTTGAGTTGTAGAGAAAAGTGGATGTTCACAAGATTTTAGCAACTGCAGTCAACTGTCTGTTCCTTCCTCAGTTCCCATCTAAAAGACCACATGTCACACTTACCTACAAATGAATTTGCTACCTGCAATGAAAACATCTTCCTCAGCATATCCCATGTTCCCTATCTATCCTTAGTTTATCCTTAGTAGTATTCTGGAAAGTGTAATGTAAGACAAAAGAATATTTGAGTAGAAAACAAACATTTTAAGTTACCTTCCTTTTTCATTGGCAATTAGTTAACATGTAAAATCTTTTGGGGTAAAGTATAACTTTTAATAAGAATATATTACATATGGAATAAAATATAGCAAATGGAATTATAAGACTATAAATGCATCAAAAGACTAGTGTCATGAAAGCACAAGAATAAAGCTGGACATGGTTCCAGAATCCAAGATGTCCCAATGGCCTTGTGCATCAGTTTCTCTATTTTTGGTATTTTGCATAATGCAGGGATCCTTAGTTCAAATGAGCAAAAACGTTTCTTGGTCAATCCCACTTTCTTCCAACTCCTACCTTCCCTTTGCCCAGGAAGTAGTAGAAATTCTGTACTATTTTTATGAATTCTATTATTTTGTCCATGGATCTCTAATGAAAAGTTTGTAGGATAAAGGAGTTGATTAGTCCGAACAGTGCTAATTGACTACAAAAGAAACATTAGTGATCAGCCTCTTCCTCTATAAACACTGACCAATTAGATGTTTCCATAATTCCATGTATTATGTATAGTACACTCTATAAATGTAAATGTAATGCTCGTTAAGAAAAGTGCAATTTATTGTACATTGTCCCAACAAATGTTTACTTTTATAATCGTTATGAACTTGAATCAGATGAGTACCTTGTTTTCATGTGTGAATGAAGCCTCGTGAAATAAATAAATGCAACCAAGAAGGTAACAAGGTGACTGTTTTGTGAGCCAGTGCTGTTTTCAATTATTTGTGTTGCCCCTTTGGCCCCATTAAGCAGTAATAAACATTTGTTCTGAAGTCCACACGTCTTTTTGATGTGTTCTGGTTGACTTTATTCTGAGTCATTTAAATCCAGTGTTCATGCAGTACTTATCTGACACTAGACTCCAGTCAACTTACACATGCCACACGACTTTGCTCCAGGATATACCATACAAAGTGATACCTACTTCAGCACCACTGCCAACCATCCTGCTTTCCTCTCTTTAGGGGTCATTTGCTTGGAATTAACAGAAATCTTCTCAAGCTAGATTAATAATAATTTTAAAAAGCAATTAATTAAAATAAAGTTAAGGTATCTGTATCATGGGTACCAAAGGCCCAGTAGCTGGGCCAGAAGAGACACTAGGACTTGGGACTGAGATGCCACCAGGAATCCAGGCAGCTGTCCCTAGAAACTCTCTTCTGTTTATCTTTCCTGATGATGCTTATCTGACTTTTCTCTGTCTCTAAAAACAAGCTGTCTCTAAAACTTTTCTCTGTCTCTAAAAACTCTCTTCAAATGACCAGCAGAGATGGATGAGCTTCTCAAGTGTACTAATTCCAAAGTCTTACAAAAATCTAACTGGCTAAACCTGGTCAGGTGACTAGTTCTTCAGGGTCCAGCAAGGTGAGTGATGTCATCTAATTCAAACAGAA